TAAACTAAGTCTCCTATCCATCACTCTTTTTGCCCTCATTGGATTACTACATCTGGCATTACACTCCACAGTAAAGGAAATATGTGGGAACTTTTTAAAAGGGGGTTCAGGTGAAAGGAAAAAGGTAGGTCAAATTAAAGACTTGAATTCATTAGTCTTTAAATTTGTTTAAAGAATTAACCAGTGAGGAAAGATTAAAGTAACATATTCATTCTCTCATTTCATGAACATTTATTGAGTACACGCTGTATGCAAGACACTAATGGACACTGGAGGAGAGATATAGCACTTGCCTATGAGAAGTTTCTAGTCTAGGTGGAAGAGATAGATAAGTACATAAAGTATATTCTATTCCATAGTCGTAGAAAAGAGAGGCACCTAAGCCCACCTGAGGAGTCAGGAGAGGTTTTCTGAAGAAGGTGAACTGACTCTTAAAGGTTGAAGGGAGTCCTTTTTGTTTTACCACAAGACACCCAGAAATGCAGAATAAAATATAATAAGCATCTCTGTAAAGGCATAGCAAGTTAACTCTCCAAGGACCAAAACAAACATAGATGAAAAACAAAGTAGTAAGCTTTAAAATAAAGTTTTTTTGTTTTTGTTTTTATTTTTCAGTGGCTGGCTGGTATGGGGATCTGAACCCTTGACTCCGATGTTCAGACACCACATTCTAACCAACTGAGCTAACTGGCCAGCCCTAAACTTTTTTAAAAAACAAAATATTAAAAAGAAAGTGGTAATTTTAAACCAACACTGTGCTGCCCTGAAAAGCTGTTAGTCTCAGTACCCGTGGTGTAAAGGTCTCAAACAATACAAGCCACCCTCAGAGTAAACTAAAAAAAATCTGCCCACAAATACAGAGTTGACATGGAGAGTTTGTCTTGGCCTGTGCTCCTAGGCCAGGAGCAGGGATGGATTTGCCCTTTTTAATTTGCACTTCTTAAGTCTTCAAAAATCCCCAAGCTAAGAAATCAACAAAAGGATCTCAAGCTGATAATATCTCTGGAGTGTATGGCAGAAACAAAAGAAGAAGCATGCTAGAAGGACAGACTCTCTATCCAAGGAGTACAGCACAAAATTTTTCACAGATTAAACCCCACTTAAGATGAACTTATAGTCCAAAATTAAAAAGCACACAGGCAGCAATCTACAATAAGTAAATGTCAGGCAGCACAACAAACATCACATTTAGCATCAACCCTGTCTCCCCTCCCTTAACTCAAATAAGAAAAATATAGGGAGTATAAAATAAGTCTATTTAAAATGCTCAAATAAATCAAAGAGATTTTAAACATGAGTGAAGAGCAAGACATTGTTTTTAAAACTGACTTGTTTACTTTAGAAATAGTTAATTAAAAAAATAAAAATAAGTAAATGCGGTAGTGATCAGTGGTAAAATAAATAAGTAAATAAAATAAAAATAAAAATGGTTAATTTTATGTTATGTGAATTTCAACTCAATAAAAATAAATAAATAAAAGAACTGTGGTCAGCAATAAAGAAAGAAGAAAAGAAAGAAAAGTTTAGAGGATACAGATCCCCATATGGGCCAGCCACATGAATGAATGGATGAAAGTTAGAGGATAGTTTGCAGGCAAACTATCTGTGGAGTTCAGATAGGTATTCTTTTTTTTTTCCTTTTTTGTCTTTTTTCGTGACCGGCAACGGATCGCAACCCTCAGTGTCGCGCCCGTACCGGACCGGGACCGGCAACGGGATCGCAGCCCTTGGTGTTGCCCCCGCACCTTGCTCAGCCAGTGAGCAGCCGGTCTGTATGTGGGATCCAAACCCTCGGCGGGAGCGCTGCCGCACTTCCCAAGTGGCGCACTGGTACAGTGCGCCACCGGGCTGGCCCCAGATAGGTATTCTTAATTAAGGAGTTGGCAGTCGCAAAATTTGGAAGAAATTGGGAGAGAAATGAGCAAGGCTTGGGTCATAAAATGCCTTGCATCCTGTATTACTAAGGACTCTTCATGATCATGGTATCTCCCCTGCCAGGTAAGTATTACTAAGGACTCTTGTTTGCAAGTGACAAAAAGATCACATTTATGTAGGGAGCATTTTGTTGTTGTCAGCTCATCTAACCAAGAAAGGCAGTGATATAGTTGGAATTACAAGAACCAGAGACCCTCATTGTCTCTCCGTCTCTCACCTCTACTTTTTTCCTTGTCGGTATTTCTCTCCTACTGGAGACTGGTTTTCTCCAAGAAGTGGAGAACATTGCCATTTACAGTTTTTGGCTTATACCCTTTTCTTTTCTTACTGTGGTAAAATGAAATTTACCATTTTAATCATCTTAAACGTATAGTTCAGTGGCATTAAGTACATTCACATTGTTGTGCAACTGCCACCACTATACATCTCCAGAACTTTTCCACCATTCCAAACTGAAATTCTGTACCCATTAAATAATAACTCCTCATGCTTTTCTGCCCCAGCCCCTGGTAACCACTGTTCTACTTTCTATCTGTGAATTTAACTACTCTAGGTACCACATGTAAGTGGAACATACAGTGTTTGTCCTTTTATGTCTGGCTTATTTCACTATACCCTTTACCTTTACAGAGAGGAAAGGACCTTCACTGTACACGCACTTCCCTTCCTTCACTCCACTTTGAAAAATCCTGAGAGAAAACTCCAATTGGTTTGGCTTGGGGAACATGCTTACCTTCAGATCAGGAAGATGGTGGGTTCTGTGATTTGCTCAGTTTGGGTTACATGGCCACCCTATGCTTTCCCCAATTCTCTGTAAACACATCTTTCTCGTAGTGTTCTTTGTCCTATCTAAAATAGTCTCATATCACTCTACTCTCTTATTCTGCTTTGTTTTTTTTTATTCCCAAAGCTCTCATCACTGCCTATTATTAACGGTATTTATCTTGCTTCTCCCACCACTAGAATAGAAGATTTATAACATCAGAGACCTTCTCTGTCTCATTCGTCTCTGTGTTCCCAGTGCCTAGATCAGTGACTGGGACATAATAGGAACTCAATATTTTTAATTAATTAATTGGAAATTAGGCTGGAAATATAGATTTAGTATTCATTGGTAAAAGTGATTAAAAGAAATTAACAATGCTTTCTTCCACCTCCCCAGTGAAGGTGAGGAATTAGAAATTGAAAGAAGCTGAACTTTGAGTGTATATGAACACAGAGATTAAAACATGAAAGTTGTGCACAAATAGCAAGAGAACTTCACTTTCTCAAGGTGAATAATTGTGGGGAATATAACCTTGCAGGATGCATGAATAAGTGGAGCCCTGAAATTGCAGTAGATTAAGCCCTTTCTGAAACTGTTTTCTGTTGTTGGACATTCACATTTAAACTATAAATGTGAGTGTATAAATCCATCAAGTGTGTATATGTGTGTGTACATACATACGTGCATATACACACACACGTACATACATACACTTGTACTGATGAACATTGGAAACTGGCAAAGTAGATGTGGGTCATAAGCCATAATGGTCAGTACTGTTCTTTTGAAATTGCCCTTAGCTATAGCTAGGCAAGTCAGAACACTCTGGAGCACAACTAACATGGTCATGCTGCCCTGTGTAAGTATCACAAAGGTCCTGTTCACTATAGCTGCCTCAGTTCTCTTCCCCTGCCGGTCCTTAATCTCAAGGGCAGAGTAAGGCAAAGTAGGGACTGACTGTATCTAAATTAAAAAGACAAGGAAAAAAGCAGGCAAAAATGATGTCCTATGCTTTCTGACTTGTTGGTTCTACTTTTCACCTTTTAGTTTCCTTAGAGTTTATTATCTTTATGATACTTGATGGACATCCCAAACTTAGCCACTGTTGCACCTCATCCAACTGTACCCTACCCTGCTTTCTCAAAATTACTTCTTTCATATCTCCTCTTACCCATCCACACACACCTTACCTCAAATCCAATCAGAACTTATATTCCCTATAAGAAAACAAACTACATTGCTTCAAGGTTGTCCCCCTGCCATGACTTTTTTCTTACTACCTATCTGAACCAAAAAGTAAGTTCCCTATGTCACTTTTCTTGTTCATCTTCCTGGGAGATTAAATAGAGAGACCTATAGCCAAAAAGTTCTGGAGCCAACCCCCACTCCACATTCAGCTTTTCGGAGGTGGGAAAGGCAGATAAAAGGTACCCAGGAACAGTCGTTTGGTTTGTCATATCACCCTCTCCAAGTTATTCATAATAATAGTTTAGCATTTATTTGTAATTGCCAGAGGCATAATAATGACCATGCATATTATGAAGTGCATATCAAATTAATTACTAAATTCTACTTTTTACCTGTGCTTAATTGTGATTATTTGTTGCTCATGTAATATGGTTAACTGCTCTCAATTTGAGGTAGTATTGTTAAAAAGTACTCATCTATGCTATAAGTAGTATATAGAATTAGAATATCTTGGTTTTAAAAGAAAAAAATTAACTGAAATATTGGAGTTTCCTGAGTAATCTATGAGAACTTTTGGCTTTCTTAACAACTTCTGGGACCTTGCATGCTTTGAAATCACATTTCTTTATGGTATTTGATCTGGTTAGGAAACCTAATGTTATTAGCTTGGAATTCATGAGTCTGAAAATGGATTAAAAAGCTAATCACTCTTACTGTAAATCACAGATTCCTTAGATAGATTTGGGGACAAGATTAGAAAAAAAAATGCTAATCCTGGCCAAGATAAATGATATACAGTGTCAGTTTTCCTGCCACTGATTGAGTAACCAAACTGCTGCACTCTAAGAAGTTCCCTTTGGCTTATTATCTGCAGATAACTGGTTATCCCATCACTCTACTGTAGCTGCTGCAATGCACAAATTACCATCCTCCTATTCTCTTAAAGTAGAGCTTGGTCACAGGTCACTGTGAAGCTCAAGGAACTGACTTCTCCTGTGTTTAATAAGCCTATGGAACTTTGGTATATTGGACATATTTGCTATAGTTTATGTACTTTCTTACTTTTGCAATTACTTAGACTTCTAAAATATATTATTCATTTCTTTTATAGGACAATGAAGGTCAAACAGCTCTACATTATGGTAAGATGTTTCTAAATTATTAAATAATCATATTTGAACATTTTCTCTATTTGTTTATCTCAACTTTGTCTGTTCAACACTATATAAATGCTTAGAAAAGTACCTGGCAGCTAGCAGAGACACAATAACTTTTTGTTTAAAAAAGCAGATTAATAACCTGGAAAGTTGGAGATATTCTAAAATTCTTATGGTCACATTGATAGTAAATCAAGCATTTCTCTACTATCAACAGAAATGGAGGTTCCTCCAACTCCCCTCTGAAAAATCATTTCATTCTTGGTACTGTCAGTGACACGTGCAATAGTAATCATTGTCCCTGTAGAATCTAGCATCTCTCCGACAAGAAATACTTTCTTGATGTAATTGAGGTGAAGAAAACTAAATTTGATTTTTAAACTCATTTCCCCTTCTAACTGATTAGCTTAGTTAAGTAATCTTTACTTAAGTAATCTATAAAATAGAGGAAAAATAATCTGTACGGTAGAAATAATAATACGGCTTAGAGAGCTACTGGCTAAATTCATTGAGGTAAGAGATTTTAAAGTATTTTTTAAACTGTAAAGTACTAGTAAATGTAATTCAAAGATTCTATTTGGATGCGAATGTGGTTGAATAAAAGATAGCCATCAATACTTAAACTAGATTAAGGATCAACCACCTTCAGACCTTTTTGGAGGGAAAACATTAGGCCATTTTGCCAGTCTTGGCAGTCTTAGACTGCCATTCAGTAGCAAGTGGCTCCAAAGCCCCTGTCCACTTTCGTCCACTGCTTAGCATTTGCTTAGATGTCAGGAACCTCGCTGGGTTATGTAGGAGTCTAAACTGTTGGACTAGCTATTATGATAACCTATATATAAGGTACTTCAAAAAGTTCATGGAAAAATAGAATTGAAAGATACTAGTAATCTTTCTTTTTTTTTTGTCTTTTTTCCGCGTCCCGCAACGGATCACAACCCTCAGTGTTGCCCCCGTACAGGACCGGGGACCGGCAACGGGATTGCAAACCTCGGTGTTGCTCCCGCGCCTCGCTCAAGCCAGTGAGCAGGAACCGGTCTGTATGCGGGATCCGAACCCTCGGGCGGGAGCGCCGCCACGCTTCCCAAGCGGCGCACTATCCAGTGCGCCACCGGGCCGGCCCAGTACTAGTAATCTTTCCATGAACTTTTTGAAGAGCCCTCACATATGAGCCTGGTAATGAAGATTGAAATGTCTGTCACCAGATGCCTACCCCAACTCAATTATGAGTTTAGCTAGTATAACCTGGGTACCAAAACCAGCAAGAAAAAGGAAAATTGTGAGTCAATCTCACTTTTGAATATAGATACAAAAATCCTTAATAAAATATTAGCAAATGAAATTCATCAATATACTTTAAAAAGAAACATGTGACAATCAACTTGGGTTTATCCCAGAAACACAAGGGTGATTTAACATTAAAAAATTTATTAATGTAATTTTCCACATTAACAAATTGGTGAAAAACCTTATGGTCAGATTAAATGTAGAAAAAGCATTTGAGGAAATTCAACACTTATTTTAAAAAACAATATAGAGGGCCGGCCCGTGGCTCACTTGGGAGAGTGTGGTGCTGATAACACCAAGGCCCTGGGTTCGGATCCCATATAGGGATGGCCGTTTAGCTCGCTGGGTGAGCGTGGTGCTGACAACACCAAGTCAAGGGTTAAGATCCCCTTACCGGTCATCTTTTAAGAAAAAAAGAAAAAAAATATATATAGAAAAGTGGTTAAGCCTTTGTGCTCTTAAGCCAGACTTCTGGGTTCAAATCTAGTTCTACTACTGACCTTAGACAAATTATTTAACTCACTGTCCTCAGTTTACTCATGATGAGATAAGGATAACCTCAAAGATTTGTTATGAGGATATAATGAGTTAATCCAAGTAAAGTGCTTAGAAGAATGTCTGACACCTAGTCCTCAATAAATGTTAGTTAATATTATTTTTTATGATAAAAAAAATTCTTAATAACCTAAGAATGGAAGGAAAACTGATTAGGTGATGTATCAAAAACTCACAGCAAATACTATTATTAAAGATGGAATATTTGAAGCATTTCCTTTAAAATTAGAACAAGAAAAGGATGGCTGCCATAACTATTTCTCTTTCATGTTGTATTGGAATTCTAGACTATGCAGAAAGAAAAACCAAAGAAATAAAAGGTCCATGAGATGTACGAAAAGAAATGAAATCATCATTATTCTCAAACAATATAATTAGCTACATAGAAATCCAGGAGACTCTATAGTCAAATTATGAAAACTAATAATATGGTTTAGTAAAGATGCTGAATGCATCAGTTTTTAAACTTCTACTTTTAAACATTTAGTTTAAAAGTGTAGAAAATAAAAAAAATTTTAAGGTTTTATTTACATTTGCAACAAAATCCTAAGACTCAGCCTAACAAAAGATATGCAAAACATATATAGAAAAAAAATTATAACACTTTTTTAAAAGATATTTTTTCAAAGATCTAAATAGAAGCAGAAATAGTTTATGTTCATGAGTGGGAAATCTCAGTATCATAAAGATCAATTCCCCCAAGACAAACTACAAATTCAGAAAATTTTCATAAGAATCCCATCAAGTATTTTATGGGATTTAACAAGCTTGTCCTAAAATTCGTATGGAAGAGAAGAGCCAAGAATACCTAAGGCAATTTGAAGAAAAACAAGAAAGAGAGACTTGCTCTTCCAAACATCAAAATGTTATTTTGGGGCCCACCCGGTGGTGCACTGGGGAGACCGGTTCCCGCTCACTGGCTGAGCATGGTGCAGGCGCAACACCAAGGGTTGCGATCCTGTTGCCGGTCCCCAGTACGGGCGCGACACCGAGGGTTGCGATCCCGTTACCAGTCAGTAAAAAAGACAAAAAGGAAAAAAAATGTTATTTTGAAGCTATAGTAATGAACTCAGAGACTGACTTTCATCATGATAGTGTGAGAAACTCCACTGACCTGCTCCCCATGAAACTGGTATAAATTATTTTTTAAAATACAGACATTTAAAGCTTCTAGAAATGATACTGAGGACAAACAGCAAATGAAGAAATGTTTATTCAAGAAAATCTACAAAAATTTGGTAAGAAGGCAAGAGTCTGTAGTAATTAAACCAAAATCACTCCTTCCTTTTCTCCTCCCAGCTCAGTGAGGCAGAGACTCCATTCCAGAATCCTGTAGCCAGGAATATAGGGCTCCCTCTCTCCCAGCTCTCAGTCAGAGGGCTTTTTTTCCTGGGAAAAGCAAGACTTGAACACATCTTATTCTCTGGCTACCTTTTGCGGAGGCTGTCCTGGATAAATGCGTTCGGGAGATGGGGGCTCCCTTATTCTCCCTCCCCCATCTCATGAAATGGAGGCTCTCCCTTAGATGTAGTACACTGAGAATACTGGGTCCTCATCTCTCTTGCCTGGCTTGTGAGGTGGTGGTTCCATGCCAGGAGAGGAAAGCTGAAAGGAACTCAGGCTGCTGCTTAGCTCCTACCAAGCACTCAGCTTGTATAATGTGGGGGTATCACTCATAGGGAAGCTTGCTATTGTTCCCTACCCTCAGCTCCAGAGCTCTGGCTCAGAGATTTTGCCTAGAGGGAAAAATGGACAGAAAGTAAATAGCTCCTAATTGCTTTCCAAAGGAACTTACTCCATTCACAACAGAGCTTGGAGAAGTTCACGACTAAAGGTGCTCTCAAGAATAGTGAGGGGGAAAAAGAAAAAAGAACAGTGGAGACAACCAGAGAACATGACAGCCGGTAGGAACCTTCTTGGGTTAGAACAAATATCAAACACTGACCTTAGAAAGTATTTTTCTGGGCCGGCCCGTGGCTCACTCAGGAGAGTGTGGTGCTGGTAACACCAAGGCCCCGGGTTCGGATCCCATATAGGGATGGCCGGTTGGCTCACTGGCTGAGCGTGGTGCTGACAACACCAAGTCAAGGGTTAAGATCCCCTTACCGGTCATCTTTAAAAAAAAAAAAGAAAGTATTTTTCCAAAGAAGCTATAATTTGATTGGATTAGTTTGTAGAGCAATTTGTGTCCCAGTTGACAGTTTTTTATTATTGTTGTTGAGCATTTTGAATATGTTATTCCACTACCTTCTGAACTTGAATATTTATTTATAGATATAGAAGGAATTATGTCCAGCAAGCTATCTTTCAAAAATGAAGGCGAATAAAGTCTTTCCTAGATAAGCAAAAACTGAGAGAATTTGTTGCAGATGGACCTACATTATAAGAAATACTAAAGGAAGTTATTTAGACTGAAAGCAAGTGACCCTAGATGGTAATTTGAATGCACATGAAAAAACAAAGAGTACCAATTTACTGGTAATTATGTAATTATAAAAGCAGTATAAATGCACACTTTTTCTCCTTTCTTAACTGATTTTAAAAACAATGTTTGAAATAATATGTATATACTGTATTGCTGGACCTATAACATATAGAAGTATAATAGGAGTGTATTTGCCAGTAACAGCATAAAGGAGATGGGTTGGAGCAAAGCTGTAGGAAATGACTACAGATTAGGTAAAGTAATAACTGTAACAATGTATTGTTGGGTTTTTAACATTAGTATATATAATATGTTAACAATACTACCACTAAAAGAGGGAAAATGGAAGAGAGCTATATAGGTAAAGAGTAAAATTATAATAGTAATAATACTATACTAGTAGTATAATAGTAAAAATGTATAGTAATATTTCTGTATATCACTGGAGTTAAGCTAGTTTAAATCTGAAGCTGATTTTGATAAGTTAAGATGATATATATGATAAACCCTAGAGCAACCACTAAAGAAAAACTGAAAAAGAAAAAAGAAAAATTATTAAAACACTACATTAGCGATGTAGAATGTTACATTCACTTAATGCAAAAGAAAGCAATAAAGAAAGAACAGAGAAACAAAAAGGACAGGATATACGTAGAAAACAAAAAGCAAATTGACAGATGTAAATCCAGCTATATCAATAATAACATTAAATGTGAAT